TTACATCAGTGTCATGCAAACTGTTCTCATTATATTAACAATTGTTAGACATTTTCTGGACAGACCTTGTATGTGCCCTGACCAGGGATTGTACCCACAACCCTTGCATGTCAGGACAATACTGTAACCAACTGAGCTGCCCAGCCTGCACAGTTTTCCATTTTTTAAATCTCACTATTCCCCAGGTTATGAGGTCTGTTTCAGCCTAACCAGCCTATGTGGTTTCTCCAATACATCTTGTACCTTTTATTGCTTACTTCCTACAGCCTTGGTTCAAGCCATTTGTTTCAGGTAATGTGCATGCTGAGACACAGCATTAAGGTCTGTTTGAGGGTGATAATCATGAATTTAAATTGAGGCCAGTGTGTTTGTGCATATTTTCCCACCTGTATTCAGCCTGTGTGGAGCAGCAGGAGAGAGACAATGTTGAATTTAACCAAGGTCCTGCTTTTGCTAACTGACAGTGATAATGATAGAGAAGAGAAAGGGAGCAAAAGACATGCATAGGGAATAATTATCTAATTCACCAGGGAATAGAACATCAGAAGGATGAGAAACATGAATTGGAAATCCTACTGAACTGGAGGTCCTGATGAGATTGAAAAATCATGGAGATCAGAAAACCAGGTGCCCTGAGTGGATAAATAAGAGAAAGGGGGCTTATAGTCATTGGTGATAAAAAAAAAACACCCAGGTTATGAGCAACTGAGGTGTGTGAGCACTTATTTTCATCACCTTTCTAATTGCTTTATGACCTTTGCCTTTCCTCTCTATTTCCATTATTGTTACTTCAGTCCTTTCCTATGTGTTAGTAATTAAGTGTTCAGCCATGTCGATTTCAGTTCTTTCTAAAGACTGAATGTATTAATTCTGTATTTGTGCTGTTTGGCCACTCAATTTATCACCTAAAATCATTGTTTTTATTTTATTTTATTTTTACTGTATCCTCTTTGATGCCTTACATCATTGAATTTAAGTTCTCTTGCCTAGGCTGGGTGGGTCTGTTGGTTTGAGTGTCGTCTGGTACACCAAGAAGGTTATGAGTTCAATCCTTGGTTGGGGCACAGATGGGAGGTAACAGATTGATGTTTCTCTTTCACATGGATCTTTCTTTCCGCTCCTCTCTCTCTCAAATCAATAAACATATCCTCAGGTGAGGATTTAAATGAAAAAATTTGTTTTCTCTATATACTTCTGGGGCTCTCATAATCTGTGTTGACTTTTCAAAACTAAGGTAGAATTCACACAAAGTAAAATGCATATAATTTCAATCTCTTCTGACTGATGTGTATTCCTAAGTAACCCTTTATCCTGTCAAGATATTGCTTATTTATTTTATTCCAAAAACTCTTTAGAGCCCCTTCCCAGTCATTCATCCCCAAAAGCAACCATTCTTGTCTGGCTCTTCACTTGGCATAATGGTTTGAAGATTCACATGGATTTTAACATATATTAATAGTTGTTCTTTCTTTCTATTGAGTAAAATCCTATTATATGATGCATCCATGTGTCAGTAGATGAAGATGAGCTATTTGTAGTCTGGGGGTATTATGAATAAAGTTGCTATGAATATCCTTGTATGAGGCTTTTTGTGGACATATATTTTTTAAAAATTTCTTTGGTAAATACCTGGTAATGGGGTTTCCAGTTCACAGAATAGAGATATGTTTTTAAGAAACTTCTAAATATTTTTCAAAGTGATTGTACAATTTTATTCTCCCACCAGCAAAGTCTGAGAATTCCAGTTGCTCTGCATTTTCTTCAGTAGTTGGTATAGTCATTCATTTTCATTTTAACCATCCTAGGAGGGATGTGGTACAATCTCATGGTTTTAATTTGTGTTTTCCAAATCCCTCCCAGTAATGAGAGAATTTTTTCATGCACTTTTTGTCCATTCTTACGTCTTTTTTTGCTCAGTAGCTGCTCAAATCTTTTGCCCATTTTTATCTGGTCATTTGTATTTTATTATTGAGTTGTAAAAGTTTTTATATATTGTGGATGCAGGCCCTTAATGAAATATATGTCTTCTGAAAATGTTCTTCCAATCTGTGGCTTGCCCATTAATTTTCTTAATGGTTTCTTTGATGAGGCAAAGTTTTAAATTTTGAAGGAGTTCAATTTATCACTTTTAATTGTTGGTGTTTTCTGTGTTCTCTCTAAGAAATCTTTCTATCTCTTGACTGAGAAGATTTCTTTCTCATGTTTTCTTCTAGAAGCTTTATAGGTCCAATTTTTACATTTAAATCTGTGATGCATCTCAAATTAATTTTTGATATATTGTGGGATAGGGGTTGAGGTGCTTTCTTTCATTTTTTAAAAAATAAAATTCTAGTTGTTCCAACAATTCTTGCTAAAGAAATTCCTTTTTCTGTTGACTTGCTTTGACATTTTTATCAAAAATCATTTGACTGTAAGTAAGTGGGTCTATTTGTGGGCTCCCTATTCTGTTCCAATGACTTATGTGTCTATGGCCACTTAACAGTAAATCATGATAAGTAGAGTAAATGCTCCAACTCTGCTTTTTTTCTTTTTCACAGCTGTTTTGGGTTACTTGGCATATCCATATAAATTTTATTTTTATTTTTGAAAAATATTTATATAAACAGAGGGGAAGGGAGGGAGAAAGAGGGGGATAGAAACATTGATGTGAGAGAGAAATATTGATTGGTTACCTCTCATACATGCCCCCACTGGGGACCAAAACCAAAATCTAGGCATGTGACCTGACCAGGAATTGAACTGGCAACGTTTTGCTTTGCACCATGATGCTCAACCAAATGAGCCACTCTGGTCAGGGTTATCCATATAAATTTTAGAATTGTCTTTTCAATCCCCTCCACCCCTCCAAAAACCCTCTGAATTTATAGATCAAGTTTGAGAAAATTGCCATGTTAACACTATTTGGTCTTCCAATTAATCAACACAGAATATTTTTTTAGTTATTTAGGTATCTTTAACGTCTCTCAGAAATATTTTATAATTTTCCAGGTAGAGATCTAACACATCATTTGTTAAATTTATCTTTGGGTATTTTACACTTTGGGATATTTTATAAATAGTATTTTAATACATTTTTTATTCTGGATAGTTTTAAACTTACAGAAAAGTTGCAAAGATGGTACAGAGAGTCCCCATGTATCGCTCACCTGGTTGTCCTTATTGTTATTGTCTGATGTTGCCATCATACATTTGTCACAACCAAGAAACCAACATTGGTACATTATTATGAACTAAACTTCAGGCTGTAATCATATCTCACTGTGTTTTTTTCACTAATATCCTCTTTCTGCTCTAGGATGTCACATTCTATTTATGCTGTCTCCTCATGTTCCTCTTATCTCTTGACAATTTCTTAGTCTTTCATTATTTTTTTATACCCTGACAGTTGTAAGGAATATTGGTCAGGTATGTCATCTAATTTTTCTCAGTTTGGGTGTGCCTGGTTCTTCTCTCACTGTCAGACCAAGGTTATAGGCTTTGGGGAAGAATACCATTGACTTGCGAAGTGTGCATCATATTATATCAGAGGTACATGCTATCATCAGGATTTATCCCTGGTGATGTTAACTTTGATCATCAGGCCAAGTTGTGTCTTCTGGGTTTCTCCACCCTTTTGAATGTGCTACATTTCTCATCCTTTTGAATATGCTACTCTTTGGAAGCACGTCACCATCTCAGAAGGCAGTGTCTACATAATTTGTAATTCTCCTGTAAGGAAGATATGTCTCTTGTTTCCTTCCTTCCTTCCTTCCTTCCTTCCTTCTCTCCATACTTCCTTCCTTCTTTCCCTCCATCCAAGTGTTACATTATTAATTTTGTTGCTCAGATAATTCCAGCTTTAGCCCTTGGAAGCTCTTTCAGGCTGGCTTCTGTGTGCCTGCAACATGCCCCCATCCTTTTGTTTTTTGACTATTTCCTTACCTTCTGGCCCTACAAGATACTCCATAATCAATTTTACAATATGGCCTAGAATCAACTATCTATGCATAGACCACTGGATTTTATTGGAGAATATAAATGAGATCTGGGCACTTGGTATGCTCATCACTACTCGAGTGTCATTGCTTCTAGAATCTCTCCAGGGACAGACCTAAGAAATATACATATACATGCCAACCCATGTATATATATATATCTATATCATGTCTATATGTATTGATCTGTATTCATATTAAGCTAAAATTGAGTTCATAATGATGCCTCCAAATCTAATCTAGTAAAACCTTTTTCATTCTAGGTTTTCTCCTTTGCTTTTCTATAATTTCCTTCTCCAATGATGGGAAAACTGGCTCCTACCATCCACCATACTTTCACTTATTTGTCCAACCCAGTACACATGGAAAACGGTTTCTGAATTTTAACCAGTGCTCCCATGACAAACTACATTACCAACTAGAGTGCAGTGTTTATGTACAGTTACTTTTGCCTTAGCAGCCCAATTTTCAGTCAAAATGCCACTTTCCAAAGTTAGTCAATGCCACCCCCTCACCCCCAGACCCGCCCATCCACTTCAGTGAGAAATACCATTCATTTTTAACACAGATTCTTTTCTCACAGTCTGCATTCCATCCCAGGATCCTCTGAGTTCTAGTTGTTGTTTTTACTTTGCATACCTTAAAGTTCACTTTTTGTGCTGTAAAGTTTTATAAGTTTTAACAAATGAATAGTGTCATTTATTCATCACTACGGTATCACCAATGATTCCACCACCTGAAAATTCCCTATGCACCCTCTCTGTAATCAGCTGCTCCCCCTTCCCCTAGACCCTGGCAACCACTGATATAGGGTTTCCCATCTGTGTGGTTTGGCCTTTTCCAGAATGTCATATGAATGGAATCATGCTATCGGTGGCCTATAGCATGATTTGTTTTTCTTAGTAACACTAGAGAAATAGCCTTATTTCTGAATTTTGGATAGGCCATATTTTTATGGATAAGTGACCCTATAAAGAATCTTTTTTGACAGATGGAAAAAGAAAAGATTTAAAGTCCTTTGTTTTATTTGTAAAAATATTTGTAGTTGTCAAAGGCTTATTTTTGTTAGTATACAACTTGTTATTTGATTCCCATGGCCATCTTGCTGGTTAAGGAATCACTTTTCCAATGAAGAATCTGAGTTTCAGAGAGTTGAGGTGACTTCCAAGCTCACAGTTGGTTAAGTACCTTGCAGTTCTTGAAGCCTGATTTTTTGACATTCAGGCCAGTGTTGTCTGCATCCAATGCTCCTCCAATATGTCTTTGACCTCACAGTGCTGCAAATCTTTTCCAGAGGATCACAAGTCTTGATCAATGAGTAAAATTCATTTTGAAGACAGTGGATAGGTACTTTATCTGCACAAATTCCACCATATGAAGCTTGGTAGGGTGGGGCAAGGAGGATGATGCTACAGGAGGAGAGAGAGAGACCATGAGTAACGCAGGTACATCAACCTGCTGCTGCCCCCAGAGAAGGCCGACCAAGAGTACAAACTGCTGTCCTCCCTGGCCCAGTTCCCGCCTTTGCCTCACAATGTGGGCAATTTGCAGTCTTGAGATTAACTCCAGAGTTTTAAAAGTACAGATGTTTGGTCTAGCACGTCCCCCTAAGTATAGGCCAACCATGGCATGGGGGCCTAACAAAAGTAACTAAGGCCTCTTGCAACCCTGGGAGAAACCTGAGACTGCTGGTCTTATTTAGAGAGGACATATCAGTATTTGATAGGAGGTTTAAGAAACTTGTCAAGGCAATTTTGTGTATTTGGAATTTTTTCTTACTTTTTGACTTTATACATTTATGCTGCGCTTAAAACACAACCCCAGCACATGCCAGGTGTGAGAGGTATGCTCATATAGAGGCAGGGATGTGTGGAAAGCAAAGGAAAATCAGTGGTACCTGGATGCTGCCCTGCAGCTGAGCAAGTTATTTCATGAAACAGTCCTTTCAATTCAATTCATGTATGAATAGGGTAGGAGTGGTCTGTGTTCATGTAAAAGTTGTCAAAGTCACAACTAAAACCAAGACACTCTTAGTTTTTGCATTTGCTTTGTTTTGTTTTTATGGCATGGTGGAAAGAACAATGGGCCAGGTGTCAGGAGACCTACAGGTACCTCGTGGTTTTGCCACTAGTTAGGAAGATGTACATGCACTTCACCTTGTCATTCACTGAACCTGAGATTAATAAAAATGGTCTGGGTTACAGGAGGATTAAACAAGTTAATATATTTTAAGGAAAAGTAATCACTGTCAAATACAAATATAAAGTGTGGTTGATGGCTACAGTGTCTAACAGATTTATGTGACGCAGCTAATTGAGCACCTGGGTGACTGGGGACATTTGAAAATTTGGGAAGACCACTTTCTTAGTTGTAAAAGAGTCTGTTAGACTAGGAGGAGGTCTCTGTGCCTTCATATGGTCTGTTTTTCTGGACCATTCAATCTAACTTCTTGCCTGCTCTTTTCTTCTCATTGCTTGAGGTATCTGGCCACATACCTCAGTTCTCTTTATTTTCCTCCTGTTTTGGTTATTTTCATGGATTTTGCACACCATTCTCCCTTTTGGAAATCAACTAAAACCTGGACCTGTGGGCTAAGCATCCAGCATCACCTCACCCCCAAACACGTTCTTCCTGGCAGCCAAAGTCTTGTTAAGTGCTGCCCATAGGTGGTGCTGGAGAGAACGAACTCAGGAGGCACAGGCTGGAGCTTCTGGCTTTTTCCCTGTCAGTGTTGTTCAGGCTGAGGTCTCATTCAGAATTTCCAGAACAGTCTTTTTTCTCATTAGAGGCCATCAGCAGCAGCTGTGCCCATTCCTCAGCGATTCGCGCACCAGTTCCTCAGAAACTCACACCTTTCTTCTTGTGTTGTATCAGCTCAGGAGTGGTACCTCCCTCTTTCTCTTTCATTCCTCCAATACCACAGCAACCAATTTCTGTATTAAATCCTGTTCAATCTGTATTGCATCCCCTGCTTTCAATTCCTAATGTGGTTTCTGGTTTTTTGGGGATTGGATTCTGACTGATAAAACTAGTCAAAAGTCCACTCTTCCCCAAATCATATGATATCTCATTCCTTCAGAAGATGCCTCATTCAGCACCTTATTAGACTGTGCATTTTAAGGAGTACCTTCAGTGAATTCAATTGCATTTCTAAAACACTTAATGCCTTTCACTCAGACCCTGCATTTTAATGCAGGAGAGTGTGTTTGTGGCTTTCAGGGGGCAGGGCACACACAGGAAGTGGCCATGTTATCACTGGGACATGAACTTTCAGTCTAACTTTCTGGCTAACTAAAGCTCAGTCACTTTCACAAATAAGATCATATACTATTAAGCACTGTATAATAAATGGGAGTCATTATAAACTACTTTAATTTTCCCCCAAAACATAAAAGAATATAATTTAAAAAGTTACAGTCCTGATTGGTGTGTCTCAGTGGCTTGAACATCATCCCACAAAGTGAACAGCTACAGGTTTGATTCCTGGTCAGGGCATATGCCTGGGTTGTGGGTTCGGTCCCCAATCTGGGTGTATGTGAGAGGCAATGGATTGATGTTTCTCCCACACATCAATGTTTCTCTGCCTTCTTCCCTTCCCCTCTAAGGATAAGTAAATAAAATCTATAAAAAAGATAATAAGTGCACATGGATTAATAGATACAGGCATATATGTGCATATATACCACACAAATTCTTGGCTCCATCAATTTTTTTGTTCTATGAATATATATATATATCAGTAATATTGCAGGTTCAATTCCAGACCAAAACAATAAAGCAAGTTGTAATCTTTTTGCTGGTTCAGGCTCTTGCCTTCAATTTGTAAAAAATACAACATCTGTGAAGTGCAATAAATCAAAGTGCAATAAAACAAGGTCTGCCTGTATAAATAATTAATATTCTGTGTGTCTATACATATACATATATACATACACACACATAACCAACAAATAAAAGCAAATTTTAAAAAAAGTAACAGCAAAACAAAAGTATTTCTGTTTCTAGCCATTCCATTCTCTGGTGAACTTGAGGCATGGGGCTCAAAGTTATCACCATTTTACATGCTGAGGCCCAAAGGAGTCCATGCTGCCTGGTTTAACTGACAAGCAAGTGGCAGATCCACCTGCTTGGCTCTCCATCACCACCCGCACCATTTCCCTGAAGCCTACCCACCACCCCTCCCCACTTCACAGGTCCCTGAGGTGTGGAGTGTCCCTGAAAGAATGTGGCTGCCTCCCTGGAACAGAAAGTTCAGACTCTGGTAGAGTAACGCAGCACTCAGACTAGGAGTCTTTCTCGCACTTCTTTGACTTTCCCCGCCCCTGAAGTGGAAAGTTATTTTCAAACCTCCATCTGTTTTGTGTTTAATGTGCAGAAAGGTTGCACATTTTCAGGGACCTTGTTCATAAGCAGTAGATTGTACAACAGTTTATTACACAAGTGGGGGTTTTTATTGCTGGCCTTTGTTGAGCTGCCAACTGGGAGAAAGAACACAACGTGCTCAGCGGTCCCTATCAGGAGAAATGAGAAAGCATTAAATACCAGTCAAATTGTCAAGCATTGAAAAGCAAGTAATCAAACCCAGAAATCCCTGGGGCATGGCTGGGGAGAAGGGTTTTTATCACTAATAGTGTTTATATATCCAGAATTGTTTCTCAAGTCACTTATGTCACAGACAACATCCCTAGGAATAATGTGAGACGTGTGACCACAGTGAGGTTTTTGACCTAGAAACACTCGTATGCACTCCGAAATCTGACTTTAGTCAATGCAAAGCATCAAATGGGAACCCTGGCAACAGACACACACACACACACACACACACACACACACACACACACACACACACAATTGGCCCTTGAACAACATAACTTTGAACTACACGGGTCCACTTATATATATTTGTTTCAATAAATACTCTTAATGTATTTCTCTTCCTTATGATTCTCTTAATATCATTTTTATAGCTGACTTTATTGTAAGAATACAGTGTATAATATCTATAATATACAAAATATGTGTTAATTGACTTGTTCCTGTTATCAGTGAGGCTTCTAGTCAACAGCAAGCTGTTAGTCAAGTTTTCAAGGTGTCAAAGTTCTACGTGGATTTTTGACTGCATGTGGTGGGGAGGGGTCGATGCCCCAACCCTCATGTTGTTTAAGAGTCAACTGTATGTTTTAAATCATATCACATCATTGGGGGCAGCAACTCTGCACTTGAGTGCTCAAGGCTTCCAAAAACCTTTTGTTTATTCTGAGCCATACACTCTGCGCTCCTAGCAGGGAATAGGTCAAAAATCATGTATTTTACTACTCACTCATTCCTAGTCATGTGACAGGGTATAGCAAACTTCCACAAAGTATCCTAGGAAACACTGGATCAGAACCCCAGTTGTAACAGACCAATGTCAATGGCAACAGGTTACTCTTGCTTCTTTCACTCCCATTGTCCAGAAAACCCAGATTGTCACAGAAGTTGGTGGAGACCTCAGGAATGCTTCAATATTGTTGTTTTCAGTCTAAGCTGCACATCAGAATTCCTTGGGGACCCCTAAGGGCCAAGTAAATAAAATTTCCAGAGACTGGGTGAGGATGTTGATAGGCTTCTTAAGTTCTCCAGGTGATTCTAATACACAGCATGGGTTGAGAACTGCAGGTCATGTCCTCCTGTCACATTTGACTAGTTGAGGAAATTGAGCCTGGAGAAACGACTATCCAAAGCAACTGATTGATGGTACACTGGTCGCTCTTTTTTGCGAGTGTTTTCTCCCTACAACACTACTTAACTGTCCCAGATTGCATAACCCTTTACATATAAAAATGACCCATTCACACTGACCTTCTGCCTTGTACACACATAGATGCACCATACCTTGTATTAGCAGTAGCAGCAGGTTGCTTGTTCCCCAGCATTCCAAAGGAAAATATGGAACCACAGAATCAGGATGATGTTATCAGGACCACACAAAAAAACTGGCTTTTTCTAGGTGGTACATGGAGAAAGGAGTTAGGAATTTGCTTTTAAACACAAAGGAGATGCAACCTATATTCATATAATATAACGTTATATTAGTCCATTATTAGAGTCCTCACCTGTTTGAACAAAGCACCTAGTTTTTGCCTGAGTCCTGGCATAAATATTAGTGGTTCCCCAGTGTCACTTCCAAATATGTTTCAGATTGGACATTAAATGAACTGATCATCTACTCTAGATTAGTCTTACCCCAAGTCTTGTCCACACTTTCACTGAAAGTTCCTCTTTCAGGCTGAGAAACCCAAGCCCTTTTCCCCAAACCACAGGCCAAGCTTTAATGGCATTCTCACCGCAGGTCTGATAAACAATGTACTCGATCTGATAGACAGCTAACACCCCAGGGGACATTGGTTCGTAGTCTTGGACTTCTCAGCTCAATCGCCCTAGCTTTAATGCCACTTAAAGCAGAATGTAAGCACTGAAGGAATTTCAGGAATCCAATGATATAAATTGTATTTTTAGAACAGTGAATGACTTGAGTGAGTGAACAGTGCAGTGACTAAAGATAGTTCTTAGTTTTCCCATGATTTATCACAGGCGAGTTCAGAGCAGGTTAAAATAATTGAACGCTGTGATAGCATATGTATTGGCATGGTTTTGTGAGTACTCATTCATAACATATTTGTCACAAAGCATCATTTCCATGACAGAACTCTGATTCACGTGCATTTTTTTCTTTGCAGTGGTGACACAGTTCAAGTAACTCCTTCATGAAGGCTGGCTACATTTGCACAATGCCCAGCCCCAAGGTAGAGCTTTGGGAAGAAGGATCAAGCAAATGACTAGTTCACCAAATAAAATGTGAGTATATCCTGAAAACCTCACTTTTACTGAAGGATCCAGAGAAATGTTCTTTATGGGATGATTGTAATTCAGGGGCTCTGTCTTACAGCCTTGACTTACCTCTTACTACTTCTTTTATTTTCTCTTTCCCTCATTGATTTTCACTTTTCTCTTGGTGTGCCTTTTCTTTTACTTATTAGCTCTGTCCCCTGGGTGACTAATTTTTCTACTCTTTAATCAAATGCTGTGATATGCAGATAATAAAAAATGACTGTAGGGTCATTGTAGAGGACTAGAAATAATGCATTTGTGGTAGGTGCACATGGCCTTAGGTCTTGCTGTATAAGAAATGCAATTTTTCTACATATTTCTAAATTCTTATTTTTCTATAAGTACACTTAATTTCTATTTTGAGTCCCTGTTTGTTTTATGGGAACATAATGGTTTATGAACATAATCTCGGTCAAATTAGGGTGTCCTCATCCAAACACAAGGGAGGCCATAGGGCCTATCTGATTTGGTGTCTTTGGGCCTGTCTGCTGCCCCACTTGCCCCACCTGGGGCAGCGGGGCTGCAGGGCAGGTGGGAAATGCTCAGGGCTCTTCCCAGGGACCCCACCATTATATCAGCTCTCTTGGCTCTCTGGCCCTCCTCCTTCCCAAATTTATCTGGGCTAGGGAAAGTTTCCCAGCTTTTCATCTAATCTTCCAAATCTTTGGTTTATGCCTAGAGCCTGAGATTTTGGACTCAAAAGCTAAAAATATGTCTCTTCTATTATCTATATTGTGCTGGTTTTTCCTTCCCTGAAGCACTAAAGATGGATGGCTTAGCTGCCAAATGGGTGGAAAACAGGAAACAGCAGGGAAAACATATGGACAAATATCTCCCCATAATTTCCCACCATGTATGTAAAGCACTATGCACAAGGCCTGGCATACAGCAGGCAGCCAGCACAGATGACTGAAATCCTTATGCAGGTCAGCTAAAAGGAGAGATTAAGAAACAGCAAAACAAACAAATAAGCAAAATATAACCAAAGATACTGAAATAGAGAACAGGCTGACAGTGACCAGAGGGGAGAGGGGAAGGAGTTTCAGGGGGAAAGGGGAAGGGTTAATAGAAACAAGTATAAAGGAAACATGGACAAAAACTAGGGAAGGGTGGAAATAGGAGGGAGGTGGGAGGGTTTGGGGGGTGAGCTGGGATGGGAGTAAAAGACAGAAAACTGTATTTGAACAATAATTAAAATAAAAATTAAAAAAAAAACACAAAGAACACAGGCTTGAAAACCAGTCAGCACAAGTTCAAAGTCTGGCTCCATGCTTTCCTGGCTCAGTATTCTCAGACAAGTTACCTAACCTTTCCATGCCTTGGTTTTCCCATCTATCAAAATGGAGATTATAATAGTACCTCCTTTATAAGGTCATACATAGATAAAGTGATCAATTAATGAATTATGCTATTATTATTATAATTACTGCTAATGCAAACTTCTGTCCCTCAAAGATATTAGCTTAAAGCCCTTAAAGATATTAGTGACTGTGACTATGTTGACACTGTCGGCACACACAACTATATCACACCACAGAGAAGAAAGGGAACAACATATCACAGCTGGCATTCACAGGGGAAGGAGCTGCTGCTCCCAGGAGAGCAGCCTGACTGAGTCTCCTGCGCATGCAACCAGCTAGGTCAAATATGTGCCTCAATAGTCCTTAGGGCTGGGTTAAGAAGGAGTCAGCTAAAAACAAACAAGCAAATAAAACAGAAAACAGACTCAAGATGCAAAGAACAAACTGATGGTTGCCAAAGAAGGGGATGACAGAGAATAAAAAGGTAAAGGGAATAAGAGGTCAAAACTTCCAGTTATAAAATAAATAAGTTATGGGGTAAATAATGTATGGCATAGCAAAAATAGTTAACATCATAATAACTTTGTATGGCAAAGTTACAAGATGGTTATGAGACAAATTGTGGTAATCACATTGTAAGGTATATAAATGTTGAAATGTTGTAAAACCTAAAATATAATAATGTATGGCAAATGTACATTGATAAAAAAATAAAGGAATCAGCTGACTTCAATTCAGGTAGCTGTGAGTTGCTAGCACAGGGACACAGACACTTGAGGGACAGCAGTTGGAATGGGAAGATAGACTCATGCTTCCAATCTGGGGGACAAGAAAGAGAGAGAAGGGTAGTATGAGGAGCAAAGTTCAAGATGGGCTGGCCAGGTCATTGTGAGAAACATGCTTGATTGACTATTGCTGGCAGTTGTGGCAAAATCAAACGGACCTTGGGCCTTTCATGAGATGAGGATTGTGTGTTTGCTTTTGCTGAGGGAGGTGCTTCTCCTGTGAGCAGGGACAAGAAGGAAAAATGAAGGGCAGACCATGGTCTGCTGATCCCCATGCTATGTACATCTTGTTCTCCAGCCTACCAGACTGAGGAGCATGGGAATGAGAACATGGGGACTTTGAGCCCTATACCTGACCACCCCTTCTATCTCAGGGCCAGTCTAGTCAATGTTCCCCTCAACCCACACCCAGTCAGGATGAGCAAGTCTTAGGAACAGTGGAAAGAGCATAATATCAAGGGATCAGGACACCTGGACTTGAGAACAGCTAGCCTGTGGCCTTTGATCTACACCCTCACCTCCTTAGGGCCCTCCATGAGGAGGTGGGAACAGAGCTTGTTTTGGGGAAAGCAATGTGGCATAGGCAGGAGTGTGGGATTTGCTGCCAGAGGGACATCAATGTGAATTCTGTCTTTGCCATTCACTAGATGTAAATAGAGGGCAATTAACTTATATAATCTCTCTAAGCTCCACTTGCCTCATGTATAAAAATGAAGATAATAATGACACACTTGTCATATGATTATTTTGGAGATTAAATTCAAGAGTGTATGTGTGGTGTGTGGCACAGTACTGCTGACACACTGTAAGTACTTGATTGATTGTTACCAATATCGTGATAATGATTATTTAGTGAAAACCTAGGGCTACTAAATTCACTGAGTGAAAGAATTCAAGACTGTGAGCCCTGCTTTATCTAGAGCATCAGAGCTTTTCCAACTATTTTATATATCATTTTTAAAATAAAACAAGAGATCTATAATAAATAATAATAATAACAATACTAATGCTATAAATCACTGGATTAGACCAAGGTTGGTAAATTTTTTTCTGTAGAGAACCAGATAGTAAGTGTTTTAATCTTTAGGGGCCACACATGGTCTCCACTGTATATTCTTCTGGTTTCACTGATGTTGGGGTTAGGAGGAGAATGAGGGTCAGGCTTAGCTGGAGAACAACAGTGCTTGTGAGGACAGAGTAATTGTTGTGACACAAAGCCCTCATCTGTGTGTGACTAACTTCTCAGTGGCTGAACATAATCAAGGTTTATTTCTCCATCACAGTGAGTTGGGCATGTAAGGGGTCTACACCATAAAATCTTTTGGGGACCAAGACTTCTTGTGGCTTCTCCATCTATTTGGAGACCTTCCTAAATGGGGAAAAAGAGAGAGAGAGAGAGAGAGAGAGAGATGGGCCCACATTCAAGAGCTCTTTAAAAATGTACAAAACTTTCTTAGCTCAGGGACTGTGCACTGACAGCCTGGGGGCTGGCCTTGGCCTGAAGGCCGTGCTTGGCTTACTCCTCATTTGGAGCATCTTTATGTTGCTTCTGAAGATGAACCCTGCCTCACTCGGAGAATTCACTTTTTCCTTCATCAAGTAGCCTAGCTACCCGCTTAGGAGTCCTCATTCTCTCTTGCATGTGATAATCTTGTTCGTATTTATAATAGTTGTCAGATTAAGTGTCTTCATTAAAATTTTATGTGTAATATTACACAGAGTTCTTTTGTGGACAGTTTTCATAAAAATGGTCTATTAGTTCCCTAGGGCTGCTGTAACAAAGCCCTACAAACTGGGTGGCTTAAACCCACAGAAATGTATTTGTCTCTCGGCATTCTGGGGGCCAGAGGCCCAAACTCAGAGTGTGGGCAGGGCTGGTTCCTCCTGAGTGAGGGCTCTGAGGGCTCTGAGGAATCTGCCCCGTGCCTTTCTCCAAATTCCTGGCAATGCCAGCAACCCTTATTGTTCCTTGATGTGTAGATGAACATGCCAGTCTCTCCCTTCACATAGCAGCCTCCCTGTGTCCCTGTGTCTTCACATCTTATTGGATCAGACTCCACCTTAATGACCTCATCTTAACTTCACTAAATCTTCAGATCCTATTTCCAAATAAGGTCATGTTCACAGGTATCGGGGGTTAGGACTTCAACTTGTTTTGGGGGGCACACGTCAGCCCATAACATGTGATGAGCAGCACAGGGTTGAATATTCACATGCAAGAGCTGTGAACTTTTAGAAATGATGAGACCTGTCAGGGCTGCTCCATATTGTAACAGATCAATAAGGCACATGAGGTAACTAAAGAGCTTAGTTTTTACCCTTCATTGTAAATGGCTGAGAGAACAGTGCTATTATTGCTGCTACCTCGAAGAATGTAGAATTTTACTTTTTAAGTGTTCCTTTATGGACATGGAACAATGAACTAGAAAATGTGGCACATTCTGTACCCTCCTTCTATTTCTAATTTATAAATGCTGTATTCAAAATACTGTAACAGCGTGACTTGGGGTTACTAACAAATCAAAATAAAAGCCAGAGCTTCATAGCATCCATGTCCCCCTGTGAGGGAAATGCAGCCTGGTGCCTTGGATTGGAAGTGAACTTTCTGGTAAATTTTCACCCCTTTCTGCAGAGGTCAGGCTTTGAAAATCAATACCAGCTGGCTGTAATTCTGTCTTGTTTTGAAACAGATGACTTAGACTGCTAAACCATCACTGGGCCTAAGATTTATCTTCCCCTACTTGGTCTAAGTTACGGAGACCCAATTTACAAAGAAAAGAAATGGGGAGAAATGTTTTATTGGTGATCTCACTCCCTCCACCAGAAGAATAGCTACCTGTATGTTGCGCGTGGGTCACCGGCCAGCAGTGACCACGGAACG